TCGCTTCAATTTGGATGATGATTTCTGATGATGTTCATTGATGATGAACAATTCTTCAACGATGGATGATGCGTGAGGTAGAATTTAGGGACTATTGAACTTTTAAATCTATTTAGTCACCAACTTATTGAGATGATATTGAAATTGGTCCGACACGAATAAGGACTGACCGAGGACTGTCGACGAAAGCATCACTATTTTAAACTCTCGGTTTGAAATTATAACTGCATAAAAAAATCTTTGTTCGAAAAGTTCCAAATATTTAATGCAGAAAAACGAGAATTTTTGAAAAGTCCCTAAAGTGTTGTTACTATCAATTAAGCCAATCTTTATTATATTTTTTTAGAATTAGGAAACTTATTTCGATTCACATGCTAAATTATTTTCTTCAAATGTTACATTGTCATAGGTTCGCCATTTCTTGATGTAACATCTACTGCAGTGAATAGAAGCCTCGCAATTGCAACAAAATTTGTTATACAAATGCAGAACATGATAACATACTGTTATTTACATACATTCATTACAGTCAGTATTACCACTTCACAATGTACGCGGTTTGTCTTCGAATAAAATATGTCACAATTGAAAATAATTTATGCATTTGCTTCAGCATTTGTCACACAAGCGTGAGACGCATTACAGTATTGAGTTGATGGCGAAAATACGAAATAATTTATAGTTATTATTCATACTATTTTGCATTCTACAATAATAGTATCTGGATTACTCTAAACATTTGTCTCAAATCGTCATCGAGAATATTAGTAAAAAAATCCCCGTGCTCTGACATGCAACTTTCGTGGAGATGCGTGTGGTATCTCAACGCTGAGCAAGATGTAAAGGCACTGATACACTCTCCCCCTATCTGTCATCTCATTTGTTAGGAAAATATTTTGCTATTTGCAGAGTAACCAGAGATCGATAAGGAAGCGCTTGACGTTAGTATATATCATCAGCTATGCGTCTCAAATTACCAAACCTGTAATTGCGTGCGTAAGTGACAGTGAATGCACTTTCGGCAACATAACACCGCTACTTGGTACTCCATCACGTAAACACGAACCCCAACTTCCTTGTTTCTTAAGAACATCAGTGTGAATATTCTAATGGTTTCAATCCAACGAACTGTTGTACCCGCGGGTACGGTAAATGAAAGTACTGTTTGGCTCCATACAATCAACATGCTTTTGGGAAAAGACAGCTCTTAGCGTTATTTGAACTCTTTATTTGCTGTTAAAATAGAGCAGATCTGCGCCCTAACGCATTCCTGACAATTGTCGCATTGGGTCAATCCTACACTTTGAAAGAGTTCCAGATTTTCCTATTAACCACCCTGGAAATATGCGATGTTTAAAAGCTCTTTCGCATGTGCTGTCTAACAAGAGTATACTTCCACATCACGTTTTAATATCAGTTATCTACGAAATGAAATTATGAAGAACCTCTGATTTCGTAATGTAAATGAGGTACGTGGGGAGCCTAGCACGCAACTCTCCACGCTGGATACTCGGATGAACATGAGATTTTACCATCTGCCTCAGAACCGTGCAAAATGCATATAAGTAGTTTTTTAAGTGTTATGAAGTAATGTAGGTAGTGTTTTTACGTTAATTAGTATGAAACTTTTATTCATGGTACGCATTCGCGAGCGTGAACTTTTGTGTATTCTTTTTAGAGGTTAGGTTTCGTCTGCCACAGGTGTGCCGTACGTGTCCGCGCTAATATACATCAGCCTGTCTGTCGACTCAATTGCCTCCGAGGGCAAGAAGGGTGACAAGAACAGTTGTTTCGAAACAGATTCGGGAAGTCGGGAAGGTCAAACACATGCTTCAATAAATGAAATATTTTGTTGTAAGACACACATTCCTTGGAAAAAACCACTCTCTGTTTAAGAATCGGATTTTAAGTGTACGGTTGGGTTTTTGTGAACAGAATAAAATATATATATTTGCACAAATAAAAAACAAACTGATGAAATGAATTCAAAATAAAAAAATCTCATTTAGCAATGGAATTCTTTTTGCAATAATGGTATCTAGCAAAAAGTAAACTATATCATGGTATGAAGACGCCAAGAAAGTAAATGTAACTTCAAATTCTCCCCATAGAACTGTGTAACTTCTCCCCATACAAAGTCACACACAGTTTTTAACCGTTTTGACGTAAATAAATAAATATGTAAAGTTACTTTTTCAGTTTTCTTCAAAATAATGTTGATTTAAGAGATCCTTAAAACAGATTTCAGTATGATTATTAAGAAAGTGTGTTATTGTGCCCTTCTGATCAGAAAGCGCCAAAATATTTAAAAATATTAAACCAGTATCCCCTTCTATGACTTGAATGAAAGGATGCGCTACGAAATCAGACACCGGTTGACGGACCTCGCATGACGTTTCTGGTGCTCATGATGCGACGGTTTGCCCGTGGAAGGTGAGGAGATCACCTAAGGTCCTGATGCTATGGGGTCCCTAAAACATATATGGCACTTCGACACTTAAGTGTATGGGATTTGCATGCTGTTGTACCAGCTAGTGATGCAACATCGAGAAAAAACATCGATGTCAACAAATATTGATGTTGAAAATAAAAACATCCATCTTAAAAGTACATCGACTACAACACCATCGATGTTGTTCAAGAAAATTGTTTTCAAGATGCTTGAGGAACCGCTAATATTAAATTCGTGTGCAGAAAATTTTATTTGTCAGTGTCCATGTTTATCAGTTCGTCGAATAATGAGTAGGCACTACGACCAAAACGCATTTTTATTTATTTTTGAAATATTATTAATTTTCTGTTCAATTTTATACAATTTTTTAGGGTGATTGAAGAAATTATGATAATATAACGTTTTGAAGATGCCGTAAGTTTATATGGCGTCTTTTATTTATTAGTTATATTTACAGCGCATTTGCTGGCTACTTCTCAATGTCAAAAATTAATATGAAGAAGGAGAAAATACAAGGGCATTGAGGTCATCTCGGGCCAGAGAGTTTGATTGATGAAGGTTGTTCAAACAGTGTTCCTTTGGTTCCAACAGGAACTACGAGTATTACCATAAGTTATTATTTCATATTTTAACATATTCAGTATTGTGATCATGGAAATTTTTCATTCCTAAACAAAATATCGATCACAAAACATCGAAGTTATAAAAACATAGCCGTTAATACATCGATGTTTAAAACATCGATTTTTCTACAAAAATGTCAATGTTTTGAAACCATACACTTTGATATCGCATCCCTAGTACCAGCTATTGAAATTTCATGTGATTACGAGTACCCAGCATGGTGGGTTGGGTCTAAGAAGTAGTATCCCCAAAAATTCATTCAACAAATGTTATATAATAAAACTATTAACAGGTTTTCTTTATCAAAGTCTTAAGAGGAAGAGGAACGATCACCTCCACCGCTGATATTCCGGTTGTGGTCGATTCCCCCCTTCCCACCTGTTTGTTTTGGTTCAAAATGCAGAAATCTGTCTCGCAAAATAATTCGGTCCACACAGTAGCGTAATTCGAATGAGATGAAATTGGAATTGAGTTTTTTAAAAAATTGTTGCGTCAACATTTACGCAACGAGACTCTAAACCCTTAGAAGAGAATTGAGCGCACTATGGAGTAATTCTCCGTTAAAATTGATTATATTATGTTTGTCTACTGCCCCGCCTCGTCGCAGTCAGTTGTCAAGAGGACCGCATGGTAGCATCTCCCGCGTTCGCCCCTCCTACCACGCGCCCTTGCGTCGCTACCCAACGGTCAGAATTGGGAAGGATTTTGAAAAGGGGTAGGGTTTAGGACACTTGACAGAAGTTGGACTAGCCCGCCTCCGTGAACCAGGCAAACTCGTTTTGTTGGAATAAATTTCACATGAGATTGTCCGAGATTTAACTCCGAAGGGAATCGAACCCGAGCCTCCTTTGGTGAAAGGCGGGCGACTTCGCTCTGCGCCACAAGATACTATTGAAACCACATAACGAGGTTGTTTGAAACCACATACCGACGTTGGAGGCCATTGGAAACAACAACGTAATTTTATCTGTCGTTGCGACCACATAGGACGGTGGAAACGATTCGGTTGAATAAAAATGAAGAAACCCCTCACATGTTGCACGAGAAATTATAATGAATGGGCTGTGATTATATAATTAATACTTACTCACACATTTGATTTCCTGGTAGTCCGATAATGCGTGCAAATATATTGATTTGGAACACATGTCTAATAATTCAATTTTCCTGAAACTTCAAATATGTATATTTCAGGGCAAAATATGGAAAATAAAGTAAGCAATGTCTTGTATATAATGCATTATTTGCATATTTAGATCTTTTTGGGCATATAAATGAATGTTTTTGCATATGTTTCGCCCTTTTGCCTACAATAACACTAAAATAATAATTTCAACGTACAGAATTTATTAATGCAAATCATGAACTCTCTTACTTCTTCAAATACGTTAGTGAGATTACAATTAGTTTCAGACTGCTGGCGGACACCGTCGCCGTAATAATATCTGTTGTCGTGGGTTTATCGCCAAGGTTCGACACCTGACTCTTTTGTCGTGCTCAGATTGACCATGTATTGAAAGACATCCTCTTTCCCATACAGTCGCCCACTCAAAGAATCTTCCACCCTCCCTTGCTTATTCTGATTCTCTATGAGTCCAAAAGATGTAATGTTATTTTAAAATACGTTTTCATTACCAAATGCTATATCTCTTAACAATTTCTGTGCATATTTCAACATTTTGGTGGAATATTTACATGCCTATTTTAGGGCTAAATGGTTGCATAAACTTCTCAGCTCTGCTGATCACTGACTCTATGGACTTTCCAGGAGAGTTACAGGAGGGTATTTTGCATTTATAAAATGTTTTCGCTGTGTATAGAAGTAAACACGAAAACATATAACCTGAAATTATAAGTACAGGGAAAAGTAACAGATTAAATGTTCAATAATTCAATTAAAAGGCTTGATTTTTTTGATCATATTGATATAAAGGAGCAAAGGAAGATGGATCGTACTAAAGAGGAAAAATGAACAGACGGTAGAGGAGTTGATAGCAGATGCTCATACATTTTAAGAGTATTTTATTAAACAATACCTGACGTTCATAAATCATATTAACTCTACCTACAAAATGCACGTATAAAAATCTTGAGATAAAGTGCACGGGTTTGGATTTAGACATTGTAGGACCCCAGAACCAAAAAACACGAGTTCTGTGAGTCAACCACTAATTAAAAAATACAGTACAGCTTGGGACAGGGCAGTGCCAAGTACTATTACGATATCAGTCTCCTTGTATTTTTTAAGTCAATTTGGCCTTTTGTAAAACTCGTTTTTTTGTTTCTGAATCCTTTCATACACGAAAACGTCAGTTGACAGGTCATAAATGCCCCAAATTCCATCTTACAATAACTTTTAATAATATTGCATTTGTTATAACCCTAGAATAATTACAATATAACACATTGTTTTCTCTTTGTTTCTATTGATTTGTATTGTTTTTATGAATACGAATTTTGGATAATATGCAATTTAAGGAGGTTATTACAGGTAATCATTTCTTTGCGCCTGGCGTCAGATTGGACCGCAGAGTCCGCTCCCAAGTGCAGCGAGCTAGACGCACACAGGCTCTTAAAACGGACGGAGATAATTCTCTGGCCTTTGGCGCCTATGGTACCTTTGGTGTCATCTAGTTTTAAAGGACAGACCCATTAAACATTTTTTTCGTAATACTGTATCGACTTAACGCAACGAAACAGTCACTTTCACACCCGGCGTCCGTTAAGGATTTAACAGTTCGCCGTCCGTTAAAGGCAATTGAAACAAACGAGTTTTACTTTTAGCTGAAGATGGTGCATAAGTACACTTACTAGAAATATATTTCTTGTTTATATGATTTTTTTTGTTACAAGGAAACCAAAAGAATGGAATGACACTTGTCAGACACCGCAAATAACAGACTCTGTTGGATATAAACCTCGGTTATCAATCGGAACAATGTCCTGCCCCAATGTTTGGACGGCTGCTTTTGAAATCGCGCGGCCCGGCCTCAGCGCCGGTGGGCGGGCGCGGTGGCGGGCGCGGGCGCGGGGGCGGCCCAGGCTGCGCGCGCCACGGGCGGGGGCGCGGGCGGCGGCGCGAGCAGGGCGCGGGCGGCGGCGCGCGGTCAGATGCGCGGATCGCCCTCCTTCAGCCCCACCAGCTCCTCGCTCTTCTCCCACAGCTTCTTCGCCACCGCCGCGTCCGACGCCGCCGCGCTCAGCCCGTGCTCCTGCGAACACACCACCGCCATTCACTGGATTACTAGAACTTTGCTGTTTATGGCACGAGGCGTTGTTTTGTAGTAAGTGTTGATTTTTCCGTGAAGCTTGTACCGCTGGTTTGTCTGCACGTGGGCCCCCAGCCGCCTCAGAATCGCCCTGAAGACGGCCGCAATGCGATTGAAAAAGCTTTGTGGAAAAATAAACATCCACGACAAAACAACGCCTCATATCTATTTCTATAATGAGGCCAATTTCGTAAACACCACACCATGTTCTACCATTGCTGTTTGTTTATGAACCTGAAACAAAACATATGGTGGTATACTGAATAGTCTTGCGAGCCTTTTGTATTCCCACTCCGCTACCTACAACTTCGGCCGAGGTGGCTCACACATCCACTGATGTCCCTGCAGTGCCTGCCACCAGGAGATCTTGGGCTTTCGAGCCCCGAAGGTGGGAGCATTTTAGGCACTCCTTACGTAGCTAGGTCTAGTTCAGTCGCTGCCTGGAGAAGAATTCTAGCGACCAGCTTCTCTGATCGGTAGTTTTCCGTGGTTTCTCCAATAAACACCAGGCGAATTCCAAGCAGTACCCTAACAAAAGTGCCACGGACCGCACGGGATCTTAACTTTCTCTTCCTTGTATCCTCACACTGTTCATTTGCTCATTTCCATGTTGCATGTCTTTATTTAAAATTGCTCTGTCCTACCTTAATTTTGAAGCTCGTGATTTCCTCGTCATGAACATAATTCACAATTTTGTGCAGTTCAGAGTCTTTACTTTTCTCTTTTTCTCTCTAGGTTATGGATAGTAAACTGGAGCGTGAGAGAGCTTAACTGATATCGAGGTATATTACTGAAAGTTACAGAGGTTCATGTTAATAAACGTGATTGCATCGCAAACTGCATGTTTAATGAGAATGTTTAATTGTACTGGTAGAAAGCGCGTTTTGCCAGTAAGTTCATATTAACATCATTAAAGCTTTGCGTTTCTTTCTTATTTTCTGTCTTTACAGTTTTAGGCATTTCTCCCTTTTGAAATAGAGAATGTAAGTCCATTTTGCATTTAAAAGACATAAACACAGTCAAACGGGGCGGTATAGCGTGCGAATGTGTCGAGGGAAAGTGCGTTTTTATTTCGTTAATTGTTGATTTTGTTTCATTTGTTAAAGTTTCTGATTGCTGAATGCAACCAAGAAAGCTAATATTTCAATAGCTGTGCGGTACAAGAAAACAAACCGAAAGAGGTCTTTATGTATCTTTCTTTTCGCGTGACTTACGATGCAATGATCACAACTACAACATTTAGCGGGATGAAATTGTGCCTTCGCTTACGCTGTATTCTTTCTGTGAAATTTGCTTGTTTGGCCATGAATTGTGTTCACACTATAAAGTTTCGTGGAAAGCCGTACAAGAATTTGTGGAAAGAATGCAAGAAATTAAAGGAAATATAATTACAATTAATGAAGCAGCAAGAAATTCAGGTCTTAAAACAGGATTTATAGTATTTTTTATCATTTAGAGAGAAACTGAGTAAAAAATGACTTCAAGTGAGTAACAGTAAAAAGAAAGACAAAGGTAAATGTGCTGGCAGATAAGATACGTATTAAATAGTGATGATATTCAGGCCTCCAATTTAACAAACCAGGTACAACCCTTCATATCACAGAGGAAAAAGACATATAAACCCTCAGAAAAGGAAGATATCTCTAAAAAAGCCAAGGGGTTTAAATCTAAACAAGGAGTTATCATGAGATGACAAAGAATTTGTGATCATGTATGAAGATAATGACGGATCCTTAACTTCACTTGAGAATATCCGGGAATATGATTTGTTATATTATGACGTATGGTAGTATATTATATTACCAGTGTAGAAGAAAATCATGACACACCTGAATCTCTTTGAATTGTGATCACTTAATTGTTGAATAGAGCTGAGTAGAGCGACCACTGTTACCGAGGCAAAATGCTCCCAAATTTTGTCGACTCGAACATTTTAGCAATGCAATATGAGGGAAAGCATTGGTTATGACTTGAGAAACTAGATGAAATTTTCCATCCCATAAATCAGGTGAAAAAATCTATTCTTCCGCCGGAAATAATTGGAAAATCTAACATGAATTCTGTGGATATAAAACTTAAAACTAAAATTTGTCAATGTGTCAAAAAAGTTATTGATTTGCCTTTTTATTCGTTTAATTAACTCCATGTATGTTAAAATTATTTTTTTTCCATGATGAGAATGTGTATCATTAAATTTTCTACTCATTAGAATCTAAAATAATGCGATTAGTTTGGCTTCCAACCTTAAAAAACTTTAAAATGTGGAACATTTCCATCCCGTTGGATTTCCCCAGTATCTTTCATAATGCTTTCTAAACATAATGTTGAATACAGTTGCTTCTTTACGTGGTAATAACATTTATCAGTGATTGTATTGAAAGCATCAAACTTTTAAGATGGAAAGATCTGGAATTGGAGAGGACATTAGAAAGGTGGTTTAAACTGGTAGGTTTCACGATACCCTCGCGATATAGTTTTTGAACGGCTCTCGATCTTATCGACTAATTATTTTGCAGATTTATTTTAATTGTATTATTAATTATTATATACCCATGTAATTCTATAATGTCGCTGACTCAATGTCTAGGCAATAGGGGAACTGACGTGTGTATGAATGGTGTTGGTAATGGGTTTCTTGCATGAAAGATGCTTCTCGTAGGGTGACATTTAACAGAGATTGTACATCGGTTGTTGGACTCTGATCGGTTGTTGTTTTGTACCTTTGTGACTGAGAGAGAAAGGCAATGTCAAGCAATCTGCCCTCTCTAAACACACCTCCCTCTAATCCCTCTGGCACCCACTCTGGTGGTGCATTGATGCAACCGACCTGGTAAGATTGATGACTCAACTGGCAGGCCTTTACTTTCATTTTTGAAATAATTATACCTGAACTCATTGTCAATGGCAACATGTTGCTTGCCTGTAATTTAAGAGGGGAAATTATTCAATTACATAAACTACTTGAAACTTCAACTAGAAATGGAATAAGAGAAACACATAAAAGATGTTTCGCAACCATCCTTTGTTTGTGACTCATCTGCCAGTGACACGAGGATCTACTTGTAAGAGAATTCTCTAGTTGGCAGTTCAATCAAGAAATGAATTCGCCTTGGTCCGTATGGCGCCATTAATTTTTTTTTATCTTCTAGCCACAGGAGGATTGTAGGATGAGGGGACTTCATGAGAGGAGGAAAATCTGAGGGTTCCTGGGAACGATTTCGAGCGCTAAAAAGCCCGCTTAGTTTAAAACTCGATCACAATTATTTCTTTAAAGCTATTAGTTCAAAAATTGTATATTTTGTCACAACCTAAAAGCAAACATTGTATTTGGTAATTACTTCCAGAAGAAGAAAATATGAAAGGAAGACATTCCTCTCATCTCTCCAAAGAAACTGCCACTACTTGGACTTTTTTAGCCTACAAACATTTCAATTTTAAAATACGTATTTCTAACCTTTCTACAAAAATGTCGGGCGTGGATCCACGGGGAGGGAAATATCACCTCTCAAAATTTTGCAGTAACTATTAATTTTAACTTGTCACAAAACTTTCAAGCAAAAAATATTTTCGTATAAACATTAAAACGAATAAAATTGTATTACAACATGAGCTGAGTTTATCTTGCGTCATTCTACTCTCTGTAATCTGTAATATGACACATTCGACCAAAACACTTTGAATAAAGAAAATTTTCCCTCCCAAAATTCGTCTCTGGTTCCTCCCTTGAAAATGTTAATCGTAAATTGTTTCACATCAGAGCACGGGGGTTGCAACGTTCCCTCGCGGGCACTCACCTTGCAGTCGAGGTAGTACTTCCCGGAGACGCCCTCCAGCTCCTCGGACACCGCGCAGAAGATGCTCGTCTGCGCGCCTTGCTCCGGCGTCTGCGACACAGTCGGAAGCACAGGTCAAACAGTGCAGGTTTTGTGATTTTCGTTCGCGTATAGGCCAACTCGGACCACGCGTGCATCCTGTTTCAGCAGGTGCAAGTACCTTTTTGGGCGGCGGATCAGCATCCCGATTTTTATCCCAAAGGTTGTTAGCCCTGGGGGTATGAACGATGAGATGATGATGATGATGATGATGATGATGATAGTGAGAAATGAAAGGTCGGCACACATAAACAGACGCACACAAATACACCCACATCTGAGCCGGGACTCGAACCCGCGATCTTATGGTCCGAGATCACTACGGCACTACTGCCCTAACGATCGCGGTCATTTGACCGACAAACATTGCAAATTAGCTGGAAATCGAAAATGATGTAATGTTGCACTCAAATATTAAAAAAAAGGTTTTTACCGATGTGACGCGGCATACTGGTCTGCTCCGTCTAAGTAACAGGTTAGCCGCGAGGAAATGAAAATATAATTATGAAGTCGATTCCTGTCTCTTTAAAATTTAAAATTTGGGGGGAAATATTTTACGCATGTATGTAAAAAAACATTATATATTGAAAAGTATGCAATATATAATAGTATGCAGTATATTACATTTTAATAGCGATCGATCTTTAAATCATACATACGCGCGAGTGAAAGGGAGAGAGAGGGAAAGAGTGGAGAAAAGAGAGATAGAGCGAGAGAGATAGCAATCGGCTCGATAGGCCTAGAGTCTTCACAAATAAATACAGCAAAGTTGAAAACAAGCTAAGTTATTTTAAGACTACACCACTATTCGACTCCATTGAACACATTTAATAAACTTATTTTTCATTATATCGTCATGATGAACGACGGTGAACGAATGTAAGAAAATATAACCTCCTTCGCCTAAAATTTTCAAGGCATTCCAAAAAATGTCAAGTGATGTACTTTGTATTCTTACATGTTCAGTGCCTATTAAAATAAAAGAACCAGCCAAGTTTTATGAAATATTAAAGGGAAAAAAGAAATGAATGACAGAACTAATGTACAAGAAAATATTTAAAAAATAGGCTG